TATCGCCTCGCCTCGTGGGTAGGTCCCACTGGATGTGGTTGATTTCTGTTTTGTACAGCTGCTGTCCCGTGTCGGGGTCCGTGGGCTCTGGCTATTGGCGCGTGTCAGGCCATTGGTGCTGCCGTGCATCCTGGCCGCAAGTCTCCAGCGTACCGGCCTCCCTGTCCTGGCCGGAGGGCTCGCGATCTGCCCGCGACAGTTCCGGCTGCACGCCTGGCGGGGTTCTGCGGGGAGAGGCAGGCCGCATGGTTGGCCGCCAGGCGGGGGTCGGATCGTCTCCGGCAGCCAGGGCGGACGCTGCCCTGTGGTGCGTGGGGAGAGGCCCCTTTCGCGGGCGTTCGCCTTCGGGCCTGTGCCCGCCGTCGCTCCTGGGTGCGTCCCCTTCGCTCAACGCAGGACCCTCGCCGGTCTCGGAGGTACCGCTGGTTGTGCCAGGCGCGTGCACGTACGGCGACGCCGTTTCCGTTGCCAGAGCACGAGATTATTTGTCAGTCGTGTCCTGGACGTCAGGCGAGAGCGCCTGGGGTTCGCCGCCCGTTAGAGTGGGTTCACTGGCAGTGGAAGGGGGGCGAATAGGCGCGAAGGGGTTTCTCCCGACGAGCCAGTGGATGGCTTCGCTGTCCTGCGCCTGGACGGTTGGTCCGTGGTCCCCCTGCTGGGTCTGTGGCGCTCCCAGAGGACTGCTGACGGTGTGATTGTTTTGAGGGGGAGGTGGGGGTGGCACGGTGTGGGGGCGAGCCCCTGCTGTTCCGGGATCTCGCTTAGCTGACTGTTGCGGCTGCCGTCAGCACTTTCGGGGGCCCCCCCTGCCCACCTGGTTCTATTCCAGAGACACGGATGAAGGCTTGTGCACCTTCCGCACCTTCAGAGGCTTCCGCCGCGTCGGACCCTCGATACTCCGCGGCCTCCGCAGCCTCCGCCGACTCCGCCGCGGCCTCTATTTGCTTTTCTCTGCCCTGCTGCTGCTGCTGCTGCTGCTGCTGCTGCTGCTGCTGCTGAGGGAGCAAGGGTACCTCTGAGTCTTCTCGTGGGTTCTGCTGGCTCCCAGAGGGGGGTCTTGTTGCTGTGGCAGCTGCGGGGTGCTGTTGCTGCAGCACCTGTAGCTGCTGCTGTGGCTGTGGTGGGGGGTGCTGCCGCTGTTGCTGCCGCTGCTGCGGTTGCTGCTGCTGCTGCTGCTGCAGCTGCTGGGTTCTGTTGCTGCTACTGCTGCTGCGGCTGTTGCTGCTGCTGCTGCTGCCCTGCTGCTGCGGCTGCTGCTGCTGCTGCTGTCGCGGCTGGAGTTGCAGCAGCTGCGGCTGATGCTGCAGGTGCTGCTGCTGCGGCTGCTGCTGCAGCCGTTTCTTTGCTGCTGCTGTCGCTGTTGTCGCTGCTGCTGCTCCTGCAGGTGCAGCTGCAGCGGCTGCTGCTGCTGCTGCTGCGCGGCCACCGCGGCCGCCGCAGCCGCTGGCGGCGGCGCCCGCGGCGGCGGGCCCCAGGGCGGCCGCGCGGGCCACGGCGGCCGCGGCGCCGGCCGCGAGGCCAGCGGCCGCCCGCGGCGGCCGCCTCCGCCACGGCGGCGGCGGCGGCGGCAGCGGCGGCAGCCGCGGCGCCGGCGGCCGCAGGGGCGGCGGCGGCGGCCGCCGGCCGCCGAGCCCGCGGCGCCGGCCCCAGCGGCGCCGGCGGCGCCCGCGGCGCCCGCGGCTGGAGCCGCGGGCCGACGAGCCGCGGCAGAACGTCGTTGTCGCCATCGCCGCGCAGCTGGCGTCTCCCACTCCTGCTGGTCCAATGGTCGCCACGCGCGCCAGCATCCGCTCGGGAGCGCGGCAGCGGTGTTCCAGTGCCCACCTGCGGCGGCCGCCCTCCTCCAAGGGTCAGCCGCCTGCAGCGGGTCCGCGGCTGGAGCCGCGGCCATGCCAGGGAGACGGGAAACAGGTCAGATGGAAAGGATGGGCAAAGGAAGGGGCCTCCTTGAGCCGGTGGCTACGGGAAAGGAGGGGCAAAGGAAAGGGCTTCCTTATCCTCAGCAGTTGCTCTTGCCGCCTGACCTTTGTCTCGCGGCCGCGACCAGAAAAAAATGTATCTTCAGCAGTATAGCCCAGACTAACTCTGCTGAAGTTGTGGGCACCTTCTCCTGCGGCCGCGACTGAAATAATCCTCAGCAGCGCGCCCGGTGGCGACGTAGGTCTTGCCTAGTTCGGCGCGCGCGCCGGCAACTAGGTTGCTCGTAGCCCGAGCCAGCTTTGCTTTCGCTGCCGGCGCCGTCGCCTGCGGCCGCCCATGGGAGTTGACGGGGAAAGGGACGGAGAGACACGTGTAGTGAAACAAAGCGGGCAATCCGGGTAAACCGAGAGATCTCTAGAGCAAGGGGGGATTTTGAAGGGCATCTTCGGATCATCCCTGGGGCCAACGTGGGGGCGAGGGAATCAAGAGGAGGAGGAGGAGGAGGAGGACGACGACGACCACAGCGACATCGAGGAAGTGGAGGGAAACGAAAAGGAAGACGATGGGGGCAAGGACGAGGACGAGGAAGGAGGGCGAGGAGGAATAAGACAACGATGACGAGGACAGAGCCCCCCAAAAAGCCACTTGGAGCCCAATTGGGGCTCTTTGGGGGCATACTGGGTCCTCTTGCGGCTGTTTTGGTGTGTCTTGGAGCCCTCTCGGGAGCCTCTTGGGAGCCTTGGAGGGCCACCTAATAGGCTATCGATCAAAGGAGGAGGTGGGGTCGATTTGCATCCCCTCCTGGGGCCATCAAAATCGCCTTTGGGGGCCCTCTTGGGGCGCTCTTGGGCCGCTCTAGGGAGCTCTTGGGGTTGCCCATGTGGTCTATTGGGCTCCTCTTCGGCCTCTTTTGGCCCATCTTGGGGCCATCTTGAGGCCTCAGCAGCGCATCGGAAGCGAAAAGGCGAGAAGGCCTCACACATTGTATTGTGAAGGCCTTCCAGCCCGTCCCTCCACCCCCTGCCCCCCTGTCACAGGGAAGGCCATTCCGACCCGCGGGGACCCGGGGGGGGGGATCTCGTGTCCCTGCATTGGGGAACCTGGGGAGGGGGTAGGGGCAGGGCGGCGGCGGCAATCTGACCTGGGAGCCCCACCCTCGGGGGCCCGCCAGGACCCCCGGAGAGCGGTAATCTACCCAGCACCCCCCGTCACAGAAAGGAGAAATGGAGGGGAGTCGACTGAACTACGACGTGTTTGTTCTCTGTTCATTCTTCAATTTCTTTGGGACTGGCGACGACGACGACAAAAATGATGACGACGACGACGAAGGCGACGACAGTGTCTCACACACTCCGATTGGTCGGTGGATTTCGATTTGCTTTCGAAGGATGTTGGCCCCTTGGGGTGTCCTGAGGGGGCTCCGAGAGCACTTGGAACCGTCTTGTGGCCTTCGTCGGGGATTTCGGAGGTATGGCGGAAGCTATTTTGGACCATCGTCGGCCATCTGGAGCTATCTTGGAGGCCATTCTGGAGCATCGGGCCCTCTGTTGGAGCCATTTTGTGCCATCTTGGACGCTCTAGCGCGTCGCGGCCAGAAAAAGCAATCCTCAGGAAGGGGGAGGAGGTAAACCTCCCAGAAAGGAAGATTGTTTTGGAACTTGGAAGAGGAAATCGAGGTATCGCAAGACCATCTTAGCCCAAAGGGCCAGTCGGATTACGCTGCGCGATTGTTTCGTCATGATGACCCGGAGGCTATATGGGGCGTTGATTTGGGCAGCAACGACGACATGAACGCTATCTATCCCCATGCCTGCGGCAAACCCCACCGCGGCGCCAGGGCAGCAGCGCAGCGGGAAGGAGGTTGAGATTCTGACGCATTTTGGAGCTTATCTAAGGACTGTCGGGAGCCTTTGAGCTTCGTTTGGGAGGCCCTTGGCGGCTTGTAGGGGTCCTATGGGAGGCCTCTTGGGGGTCTGTTGGGCCTCTCGGGGGCGTCTTTGGGGCCTCTGGGGGCCTGCTGGGGGCCTCTTGGGGGCACGCTGGGAGTCTTGAAGGCAATCCTGTAGGAGCAGGCTGACAAGGCAAGCTTGATGTCCCCCTCTTGGGCCCCGCCTGGGGCCTTCTTGGAACCGTCTTGGGGGCCTCCTTGGCCGTCTTTTGGGCTTCTGGCGCTGTCTTGGGGCTCCCCTGCGCCGTCGTGAGGGCCTTCTTGGGCCGACTTGTGGAACTGTTCGGCTGTCTTGGGCTTCAGGAGCCCAGGAATGGCCAGCGTGTTCAAATCTGCCAAAACTCTTAGGGCAAAGATGGTTTGCTGCGTCCGACGTGCGTCTTGGGGACCTCTTGGGCAGTGTTCAGGCCATGTAGGGCAATATGGGGGCCCTCGTGGAGCGTCTGGAGGCCTTCGTGCGCAGTCTTGGGACCGCCTTGGAGATCTTTCGGCAGTCTTGGGGCGACATTGGCTGTCTGGGGGTGTTTGTTGCTGCAGTTCTGGCTGCTCGGTGTTGTGTGGTCACCCGTTCGTGGCGTTGTTTTGGGTTTTTGGGTTGTTTGACCCCTCTCGGGGGGAGGGGGCGTGTGTCTCCCCTGATTAGTGCCGTTTGAACATGACTTGGAAAATGACTCAGGATTGGTGTTGGCGATTTTTGGAGTGTGCGTGCGGGCCTGGGATGGGCTCGGCCCTGGAAAGCACTGAAGCTACTGTACCAGGCAGCAGTGGAACAGTCTAACACGCGCCGACGTGGGCAGGGCACGGCGGCGGACATTGACTGTGTGGTCACCGCTCTGCATCTGCTGCTACCCATCCGCTGGGTTGTCCTCGCTCCCATGGAGGTGATTGCCCTCTTGGCCTACATCCCGGCGGTGCGCCCGGGGGGGGGAAGTGAGAGCTGGCGGCGGGGCTTCTCAGAGGCCTCAGACCTTCCGAGAAACCGTTTATGCCTTCGGAGATGGCTTGGGCATCTCCTCGGGAGGCCGCAGCCCTTCCGAGCCATCTGAGAAGGCTCGCCCCCTTCTGACCCCCCTCCGGATGCTCGCCGCCGAACATCGTGCCCGCGCTGCTGCTCGGCAGCCCGACCACAAACATGGTGCCGTACACGGTCATATATCTCGTCTCGCTCACGGTGTTCGCGGCCATCGGGAGGCGTGCGTTCGAGCGGCAGGAGCGCCAGCTATTCGCGGGCTTCCTGGCGGAGAAGCAGATGCGCTTCCAGGCCGAGTTCCAGCTGTCCAGGAGACAGTTTGTTTGTTGTCCTTCTTCGGCCTTTGTGGACTTACGGTTTCTGGACTTCTTGCCTCATTCGCGTCGCCGCTGCCGCAGCCAAGGGTCGGCTTTCTCACCTTTTCGGTCGCGTCTTGCCTTGTCCTGCCCCATTTGACGTTTGATTCGGATACGGTGTGATCGAGTGCTCAGGCTCGGCGGGCACAGCGCCTAACGACCATTTTTATCCCCTGGCGGTAACGGTCGTGACGAGGGGGGGGGGAAGAGGAAGGAGGGTGCCGGTCATGTTATGATTCGCGCCAGCGCCGTCTGCGCATGCCTCAGCGTGGCCCGTTCCCTGACGATGCCGGCGCGAATGGTGACGTGACCAGGGGAAGGGGGGAGGGGTGGGGGGGGCGCGTCACGGGCGTGTCCGCGAATAGCACAAACATGTGCTCCAGGGTGACCAGAAGCGAGGCCGTGAGGGCGGAGGACCTCGGCTCCGATCGGTCCGCCCCGTCGCGCCCGGGGACGACGATGAGCGCGGCTGCCTTCAACAGCAGCCCGGGCAGTGCCAAGAGGGGCCACCACGAGTGGGTTCACCAGTTCCTGCTGAGCATCGAGGCTTCCAGCATTGAAGCTGGAGGGGGGTCCTGGACGTGGGGCGTCGTTTGGGGGGGCTCTGGAGTGTTCTGGGGGGCCCATGATTCTCTTTGGGAGATGGCGCTTCCTCCAGGAAGTGGCGATCCCCCTAGTGGTGGCACCTCTGAGCACTGCCTGGACGTCGTGGAACACGCGTCGCTGGACCAGGTCCACGCCATTGGCCGCCGAGAGCAGTGGCTGATCGAGGACGGCGAGCTGGAGCTCTTGCCCAACAGGGTGCTCGGCGAGGGTGGGTTCGGCATCGTCCTTCTGGGGTCTTACCACAACACACCGGTGGCTGTGAAGGCGCCGAAGGGGAGCGTCGTTGAGAACGGCGCCATGAGTTCGTGCCTGCCCCAGCTCTGCAATGAGCTGAGGGCTCTCCGCCGAGTCCGTCACCCCAACATCGTGTTCCTGTACGGCGCGTGCATGGACGTCGACTCGAACAAGTTGTGCTTGGTGCTCGAGTTTGTGGACGGTGTGCCCCTCGGCGCGTTCTGCACTGCCCCGGCCACCAGCTCCGCACGGTCGCTGGTGGTCTTCGACGTCCTGAACGCTTTGCGCTACTTGCACTCGATGCATCCCTCGAAGGAAGATCAGCGGCCTAAGCATGAACTTTCGGAGTCCTGGCGTTGCCTCGGGTGCAGCCCTTGGAGCGATCCGCGCGCCAGGGAGGGGGGCCAGCGCAGATCCAAGAAATCCGGGCAGACCACCGAAAGTTCATGTTTATCCAGTTTGTTTTTTCTTCCAGCATCCCGTGGTTGTTCACGGCGACCTGAAGGACTCCAACATTCTCGTGGAGGAGCGGCGCAGTGGGAGTGGGCGAAGCTCATACCGCGCCAAGCTGCTCGACTTCGGCCTGTCGCGGCTCGTGACCCGGAATGCAAGGCCTCTGGGCGGCACGCTGCGATGGATGGCGCCAGATCAAGGGCAGGAAAAACGCCCCTACACTGGTTTACGAGGCGCCGTGCGCTGAAACTCCTGTGGGCTGACGGGGTAAACCCTGCGTGATGTGCCGCGTCCTGGCGGCTCTAGGCTTTGGGGGTTCCAAGGAGGTTTCCAGACCGCGCACTTGTAACCCAGGGTAGGGTCTTTTTTTCATCCCTCGACCAGAGTTGTTCTCACGCCAGGTCATTCCCCCAGACACGGCCGCCGACTGTTATTCGTTTGGGTTGTTGACGTAGTTCATCGTGACCGGGCGCCTACCGTTTGAGGGCAAGCGCGGAGAGCGGTTGCAGAGCCGGCTGAGACGCGGCCAGCCGCACAGTCTCGCGTGGCCTGCGCAAGCCGACGAGCTTACGCAGGCTTGCCGACCGGTGGTGGAGCAGTGCACCCGGCCGAAGCCAGCCTCTCGCCCTTCGACGCAGCAGGTGAGCCAGCAACTGGCCACCACGATGAAGCACTTTGCGGTCGGGACAATGGAGACTGTGGAGGAGGCCCTTGGCATTGGAAGGCCCAGCAGCGGCAGCACCGACGCCCCGGACGCCTCGGCCTGTCGGGATCTCAAGGAGTGCAGCGGCGCGGCGCAGGTGAGGCAGCCCTGCAGTGCCAGCGTCGGCTCGCCCATAGCTGGGACGGGCTCCAGGAATCTACCTCCCGTGCTGGAGCACGAGGTGCTGACGTCTCAGGAGGCCCAGGACTGCCCCGCAGCCGCGCCGCCCAGCAGCCCGAAGTGCCTGCAGCAGCTGGCCCACCAAGAGTACAAGCCAACGCCGCCCAGCACGCAGTCTCTTTCGCTGGCGTTACTGCTCCTTCAGTGGAACGTTCCGGTGCTGGCGGGCAGTTGCTGCCTGTTGCACGCCGCCTTATATTATTCGGACAGGACGTCTTTGGAATTTCGCCGCGTCCCTTGTAACCTACGCGGTGACAGCTTGTTCCGCGGCCAGTGCGACCAATGCGGGCTGCTGATGTTCCAGCACCAGTCGTGCTGCGAGTTCTGCGACGCCCCAGCAGCCGCGAGCGTCGGCACCGATGCCTCGCTTTCAGGAGGCACGATTTCTGCGTGACGAAATTGCAATCCGCCCAACGGGTGAGTTCAAGTGGGCGGGGCGTGCTACATGCACAAACCAGCTCAGTTTTGTGCTGGTGCGTCTGCCCCCACCTGTCTACAAATTCTCCATCAATTCTCCAGCTCAGCATTGTGCTGCGGGGCGCTCTAGACGCACAATTGTCTACCAACGGTGGCGAGAATGGATTTGTCGCCCTCGTTGTGCTGACGTGTCTCTCCCCGTCCTCTTCATTTCCCCTCCCCCTCGTTCATTATCCCTCCCCTCTTTGCTGGGGCATGTAGCCAGCTTCTTCTCCGAATCAAACTAGATACTCGCCGCACCCGCAGTTCCCAGCGAGCCATTGGCATTCACATCATGGACATGTTTTTGTCTGTTCTGCCCACCTCGTCGGATCCCCTGCCCCGTCCGTCCCACCCCCCTGGCCTCCTGGTCGGATGCCCCCCAGGTGCGATGCAGGGTGGATTCGTATGCGACAGTGTGCGTTTTAATTGTCGCCTGTTGCGCAGCCTTCAGCGTTCGAATTCGTTCGTTGAGCATTATTCAATATGTGGCAGCACTGATGTGTTGCCTCCTTCCTCCTCTCTCCTCCTCCGCCTCCTCATCCTCATTCTTTAGCGGTGTAAGAAGCAATGACCTCGCTTCGCTCATTCCGCTGGCCCGTATGTGATCATCGTTGCCGTGTGTGTGTGTTACGTGGCCGTAGCGATTCGGACGTCGCCCGGCGGCGGTAGATTGTCCGAATGATGTGTGAAGCTCCCGCTAAGACGGAGAAGCCGTCATCTCATCTGGTGGGGAAGCCCGCTTGGGATGGCTGGAGATAGGAAGAGGACGAGGATGAGGAGAGAGAGAGAGAGAGAGAGAGATCAGAGAGAAGCAGGACGAGGAGGGGAAAGAGGCGTTGTGGGAGGCCTCGGGGGGCCTCCCGCCCGTGCTCGCTGGGGAGGAGCGCGAGCATGAGCAAAGTGCAGAGCCATCCCACCACTGTGCTTGGGTTGTGGGTCAGAGGCTCCTTGGAAGCAGATTCGGGTGTCTTGGAATGCCTCTCGGGGGCCTCTTGTAGGGCTGGCGTGGGCCACCGTTCCTGGGAGCCGTTCGGGAACCTCTCAGGAACCTGCGTGGAGCCCTTTTGGGGCCTGCCGTCCTCGTTGGGAACTCTTGGGAGCTTCCTGGCGGTCTCGGGGGCCGTCTTGGGGCAGAGGGCTCGAAGTGTCTATCCGTGTTCCCCCTTGTGGGCTTATCTTGGGGCCCTCTCGCGTCGTCTTGGGGACCTCTTGGGCCGTCTTGGGGCCCTCGCGGGCTGTCTTGGTCGGGCTGGACGCAAGGGGGGGATTGGGAAAAGGAGGGTTACGAAATCTGTTGCGTGCAGCTGGTTTCGGCCCCAACGAGGGGCCCATGCCTCGATACGTAGCCGCCCCCCGGCGCCGGGAGAATCAGCTACGTGAGCTGATTCAAAAACCCTCCTCTGCTATCCCCCCCTTTCGCCCGGCCCGAATTGGGGCCTTCGCGGGGGCCTCGTGACTCATCTTGGAGCGTTTTTGTGTCGGAGCGCTGGAAGCACGGAGAGGCAATAATCAGGAGGGAAAAAACACAGACGCAATTAATCGTCGATTCCCCAGAAAATGTGGGAAAATATGGAAAGTGGCGGGAAAGACATAAACCCAGAACGTGTGGGAAAATATAGGGAATCCTGCTATTTGTGTTTATTTATGTGTGTGTCCCACGGCCCCCTATCAGAACGCAGAAGCGTGTCACAAGTGATGGAAAGTTCAGAACTTTGCTGTTCGGTTCTCCTTTTCTATTCGCCCTTGAGGCATTTGGGGGGCCTCATCGAGCCGTCGGAAGGCAATATTGGGCGTTTGGGGGGCGCTCTTGGGCCGTCTCAGACCCTTGGACTCTGTGGAAGGTCCCTTCTGACTCTCTTCGAGCTCTCTGGTGGGCCAGGCCGCGCCCAGGAGGAAAAAAACACCTCCTCATCCTCCTCTTCTTCCTCCTGCTCCTCCTCCCCCTCCCCCAGACGCCACCCCGCACGCGCGCGAACTAGATCAGAGCGAGGGGGCCGAATGGTCATTCATTGCCCCTGGGTGCGAGGCAGAGTTGGCGTTCCGTCCGGCGAGTTTTGCTGTTCTGTTTTGTTGTTGCGTTGTCGTCCTCGCCCGCGACCCACCCGCGACCCAACCCGCGATTCGCCCCGTGACGCACCCGCCACCCACCCGAACCCACGCTACTCCCCCCCCTGCCACTTTTATCCCCAACTGTGGGGTTCTACGTATCTGTTTCGTCGTTTACTGGGGATTCTGGCACGCCTTTGGCCCGTTAGACCGGCGAATTGCAGGAGCATCTCCCGCTCAGGTCTGAGCCCCAGGCTCCAGGTCCATGTGATGAAGTGGCTTCCTTGCCTCGCGATTGAGTCGCCGAGTCTGTCATCCTAGTTTCTGTGGGCCGCTAAGACTGGATCGGGGGAGGTGGGGTCGGAGGATCGCTCCACATCGCGGAGGCATCGGCGATGCGGCTCGATCAGGAGACTGACGTTTTCCATGTCGACGTCGCCATGGGCCAGTTTTCTCATCCTGAGCTGTTTTTTGACGGTCCCGGGGCCCCTGCGAGGGCTCCTAGAGGCCGATAATAGAAAAAACCGTCCGTCGTGCGTTTTCTCATGAATCTAGGGGTCTGGGGGCCCCATCCACTCGGCGACCCCCTCCAGGAAGCCTCCATATGCGCGCCCCCGCCCCCCAATCGCAGGCCTAGAGGTTGACACCAACACCAATGTCGGCGGTGTTCCTCCACCGAGGGAAGAAGATCCCGATCCCGGTGATGGTGGTAATATTTTGGCTCCCAAGGTGACCGAAATATTACCATCAACGCCGGAATCTAGGATCATCTCCCCCCGTGTGGAGGCAGCCCCCTGTCTTGGTGTTGGGGCCGGTTTTGGCCATGACGCCGGGCCTGGTCAGACGTCGTCGCGATGCAGCCCAGCAGTGCCAGACGTCATCGCGTTGGCCCCCGGCAGCGTCTGCTTTCGCAGCGCCTTCGAAGTGCCTTTCGGGGCGCTCGAATTCAATCGGCGGAATTCTGCGGTTGCCCGCTGGCACAACAAATCTGTCGAGTGGCGCCCCGCCGATCTTCGATGCGGCGCGGCAACGCCGGCTTGCGCGATTGCGTTGGGCTCCCACGGGCGCCCCTGAAGCCGCGCACCCCTTTAGCCTAGGGTCATTCCAGGCCTCCAACCCGGCGCTGCCCTCCGCTGGGCCGGCCCGTTGGTCGGGGCTTTGTTTCGACGATTTCTTATTCACAACCATCCTGTGGTGTTGGGTCCTCGTTTTGAAGAGATGGTGCCCCGCGTCTCCTTCCTCCTCCTCCCGCTGCCTCCTCCCTCCGCCCTCCTCCCTCCCCCTCCTCTACCTCCGCGTCAGCCACACCCACTTCGGCACACCCCTCACACGCTTCGTGGCCCCATAGGAGCTCTGCCGAAGGCCCCAGTGCTGCCGCCCGCATGCGTCCCGCACACCCATGTCGGCACACCCCTCACACGTTTCGTGGCCCCATAGGGAGCTCCACCGAAGGCCCCAGTGCTGCCGCCCGCATGCGTCCCGCACGTTCATTTCGGCACACCCCTCACACGTTTCGTGGCCCATAGGGGGTTCCACCGAAGGCCCCAGCGCTGCCGCTCGCATGCGTCCCGCACACCCATGTCGGCACACCCCTCACACGTTTCGTGGCCCCATAGGGAGCTCCACGAAGGCCCCAGTGCTGCCGCCCGCATGCGTCCCGCACGTTCATTTCGGCACACCCCTCACACGTCTGGTGGCCCCAGAGGAAACTCCACCGAAGGCCCCAGTGCTGCCGCCCGCATGCGTCCCGCACGTTCATTTCGGCACACCCCTCACACGTTTCGTGGCCCCATAGGGAATTCCACCGAAGGCCCCAGTGCTGCCGCCCGCATGCGTCACGCACACCCATTTCGGCACACCGCTCACACGCTTCGTGGCCCCATAGGGAGCTCCACCGAAGGCTCCAGTGCTGCCGCCCGCATGCGTCCCGCACACGCATTTCGGCACACCCCTCACACGTTTCGTGGCCCCATAGGGAGCTCCACCGAAGGCCCCAGTGCTGCTGCCCGCATGCGTCCCGCCCACCCATTTCGGCACACCCCTCACACGTTTCGTGGCCCCATAAAGGGGGCTCTGCCGAAGGCTCCAGTGCTGCTGCCCGCATGCGTCCCGCACACCAATTTTTGCACACCCCTCACACGCTTCGTGGCCCCACAGGGAGCTCCACCGAAGGCCCCAGTGCTGCCGCCCGCATGCGTCCCGCACACCCATTTCGGCACACCTTTCACCCGCATGCGTCCCGCAAACCCATTTCGGCACACCCCTCACACGTTTCGTGGCCCCATAGGGAGTTCCACCGAAGGCCCCTGTCCTGCCGCCCGCATGCGTCCCGCACGCCCATTTCGGCACACCCCTCACACGTTTCGTGGCCCCATAGGGAGCTCCACCGAAGGGCCGCCCGCGTGCGTCACGCATACCCATGTTGGCACACCCCTCACACGTCTGGTGGCCACATAGGGAGCTCCGCCGAAGGCCCCAATGCTGCCGCCCGCATGCGTCCAGCACACCCATTTCGGCACACCCTCACACGTTTCGTGGCCCCATAGGGGGTTCCACCGAAGGCCCCAGTGCTGCCGCCCGCATGCGTCACGCACACCCATTTCGGCACCCCTCACACGTTTCGTGGCCCCATAGGGAGCTCCACCGAAGGCTCCAGTGCTGCCGCCCGCATGCGTCCCGCACGTTCATTTCGGCACACCCCTCACACGCTTCGTGGCCCCATAGGGAGCTCCACCGAAGGCCCCAGTGCTGCCGCCCGCATGCGTCACGCACACCCATTTCGGCACACCCTTCACACGTTTCGTGGCCCCATAGGGAGCTCCACCGAAGGCCCCAGTGCTGCCGCCCGCATGCGTCATGCACACCCATTTCGGCACACCCCTCACACGTTTCGTGGCCCCATAAGGAGCTCCGCCGAAGGCCCCAATGCTGCCGCCCGCATGCGTCCCGCACACCAATTTCGACACACCCCTCACACGTTTCGGGGCCCCATAGGGAGCTCCGCCGAAGGCCCCAGTGCTGCCGCCCGCATGCGTCCCGCACGCCCATTTCGGCACACCCCTCACACGTTTCGTGGCCCCATAGGGAGCTCCGCCGAAGGCCCCACTGCTGCCGCCCGCATGCGTCACGCACACCCATTTCGGCACACCACTCACACGCTTCGTGGCCCCATAGGGAGCTCCGCCGAAGGCGCCAGTGCTGCCGCCCGCATGCGTCACGCACACCGAATTCGGCACACCCCTCACACGCTTCGTGGCCCCAAGGTGAGCTCCACCGAAGGTCCCGGTGGGTGTTCCCGCATGCGTCCCGCACGTTCATTTCGGCACACCCCTCACACGTTTCGTGGCCCCATAGGGAGCTCCACCGAAGGCCCCAGTGCTGCTGCCCGCATGCGTCCCGCACACCCATTTCGGCACACCCCTCACGCGCTTCGTGGCCCCATTGGGAGCTCCGCCGAAGGTCCCAGTGGGTGTGCCGGCATGCGTCCCGCACACCAATTCCGTCATGCTCTTCACATGCTTCGTGGCCCCATAGGGAGCTCCACCGAAGGCCCCAGTGGGTGTGCCCGCATGCGTCCAGCACACCCATTTCGGCACACCCCTCACGCGTTTCGTGACCCCTCACACGTTTCGTGGTCCCATAAGGAGCTCCACCGAAGGCCCCAGTGGGTGTGTGTGCCCGCATGCGTCCCGCACGCCCATATTTCGGCACACCCTTCGCACGTTTCGTGGCCTCGTAGGGGGTTCCACCGAAGGTCCCAATGGGTGTGCCCGCATGCGTCCCGCACACCCATTTCGGCACACCCCTCACACGTTTCGTGGCCCCATAGGGAGCTCCACCGAAGGTCCCAGTGGGTGTGCCCGCATGCGTCCCGCGCACCCATATCGGCACACCCCTCACACGTTTCGTGGCCCCATAGGAAGCGCCACCGAAGAAGATATACACAATTGCAGTAGTCGCATTTGCATATGGTTGGGTCCTTCGCCACGATAATTATTTTTCTTCGTATTCTTCTTCTTCGTCTCTTTCTTCTTCCTCGTCTTCCTCCAGAAAAGCTACCCGCGGGGGGGGGGTGGGGAGGCCGCACCCTGGATCGGCTCGAACAAAAAGCGCACGACACCGACAAACGCACGGGGAAGGAACGTCCGAGCGATGGCGAGCTGGCCGGGGCCACTGGCCAGGCCGTTGGTCGGGGATTTGCTTCGACGACCAGGTCTGACTCGGTGAGGGCCATCGGGGAGCACCCTGGATCAGCTCGAAGAAAGCGCGCACGACACCGACAAGCGCACGGGGAAGGAACGTCCGAGCGATGGCGAGCTGGCCGGGGCCTCGTGGGCGCCCTCGAGAGCGCGGAGTCATTCGCTCTTCGCGGTTCGGCTCCGATTCCTCCTCATCCTCCGTCTCCCCTGGGGAACGGCGCGACAGCGTGAAGTCTTTCGCCCGTGCTAAAGGTGCCCCTGGCCAAAGGTGCCCGTGGCTTTCATTCATTCTTGGAGGCCTTGGGGTCCGGGCGCTTCCCGTTTTGGCCCCTGGCTGCTTTTTATCCGGAGCGTTTCGGCAGTCAGAGGGTCGAAGAAGGGAAAACAGAAACATACATTTTCGAAGCTCCGCGCGGATTTCTTGGACCTGCGCTGGGGCCCCCTGGCGGTGCCTCCAGCGCCGCCCCTGACGCGCTCTGCGCGCGCCTGGCTCAGCGCAGGAGTCGGAGTTGGAAGGGCTTGAGTTGGAGGAGGAGCGGGGGAAGGAGAAGGAGGATGAATAGGCGTAGGATGAGCGATAAATGATCGGGAGACTTCATCCCTCCTGCTGTTCCTGTCCTTTCTCATCCGCCCCCTCCTCCTCGTCCTCCTCCTCCCCCTCCCAGACATAACTCCGTAGCCGTTTTGGCTCAAGATGTGCGGTTCCCGCGAGGGCCAAACGGATACCGCTAGTTCGCGGCAGCTTTCGTGTCGCGCGGCCTGTCCCCTCAGGTTCGGGCCATCGCCTGAGCCAGCGCGCGGGCGGCTCCTGGCGTTGGCAGGCACTGGAGGCGCTGCGAGTGCGACAACGATTGCAAGATGGCTGGCGGAGTGCCTCGGGCCAAGGGTGCTGTGCGGCAGGACTGGACGTGCAAGTCCTGCGTCAGCAAGAGAGGGCGAGCGGTCGTCAACTGGGGGACGGCGCTCAAGTGTCAGGGCTGCAGGCTGTCCAAGGCCACGTGCTTCGGGGCGAACGTCCCGCTCCCTGCGGCGGCCAAGTCGAAGTCGAAGTCGGGTGCGGCGCCTGGCGGCGGCAGCGGCAAGGCCCCTCCCTGGGCTGGGCCGCCGCTTTCGGTGCAGCTGGCCCAGGCGCAGCGCGAGCTTGCGGACCTCAAGAAGCAGCTCAGGGCCAGTGGGCCTGCCAGCGCCGGCGGGCCGCTCGGTGGGGCGCAGGCCATGGAGGTCGACGTCGGCGAGGGCGCAGGTGCTGGCGACGCGGCGGTGCTTGCCGAGATCCACATGTACGAGTCGGGCCTGCACGCCATCAAGGATCAGACGGCGGACTGGGCCACGGCGCCGCGGGAGGAGCTGCGCGCCAGGCTGGAGAACAAAGCGCGGCTCTTCGCCAGGAAGCCACTCCACGCACGGACGCACGCCATCGCCAACAATGCCAAGCAGTGCGCCAAGCGCTTGGAGAAGGCGGAGGGCAGCAAGCGGAAGGCGCAGGAGGCCTTGCGGCGGGCCGTGGAGGAGGTTGAGCGCGCGGAGAAGGTGCATGCGGACCTTGCCAGCACCGCAGGAGAGGTGCGTGATGGCGCAGAGCGGGACGGGCAGTCCCAGCCAGCGCCCGAGGCAGCAGCGCCTGGAAGCGGCAGCGGTTCAGCCGTCGTGCCGCGCTGGCAGCCTGAGGAGGAGTCGGTGGAGCAGCTCCAGCAGCGGCTGCGGAAGCATGGCCTGGAGCTCGAAGGCGGCGAGGAGTCAGCCGTGCGCGCCCGCTGCGCTGCGCTGGCCAGCGGGGGATTTCAGCCTTACTAGGACCCTGCTGATCCTCAGCACGTGGTTTGGCGCCATGGCGAAGGGCAGCATCTTCATGGCGAGCGTGACGGCGGGGGGGTCCTTGGCGCCGTGCGTCGAGGGCTCTTGCGAGCGGGCAGAGGCCGTGGTCCTCGTGGTCCAGGAGCATCACGCCAGGGAACACGACATGCTGGCCGCCTTGCAGCAGGCCATGCTGGACCACGGGTGCGCGGGGCTCTGGACACCAGCGGTCCAGGGGCCCCGCAGCGAGGAAGGCACCTCGGGCAGGGTGGCGGTGCTTGCGCACTCGCACATCATAGTCACCAGCCCGCCTTTCCTGGAAAGCCCAATGCTGCTGGCCGCGCGTCTGGTGGCCGCCCATGTGCACTGGGGAGTGGCGGGCGGATTCGTCGCCATTTTTCCGCATCCCCCAGCCGCGGCGGCGAGGGCTGCTAGGCGGCGGCCGCCATGTCAGCGGCGCAGTCCACCTCGCGCAGGTCGCGCGGCGCCGCGGCGCAGGTGGTGACACTGTCGTCGTGTCGTTCGGCCTGGCCTTCGACCTCATCTGAGGTCCCCCGAGGCGCTGTTCGCTAGTCTGACGGCACCCTCAGGCTCCTGATCTCCTGATCTCCCATACATAGCGACAGTAGACGCTGAGCTGTGTACCGGCTGCAAGGGTGGAGGGCCGGATCCTTTTTCAACATGGAACTCCCGCGCGAAAATATATCCAAATGATCGACCATAATGGAACTTTCGCACCACTGTTGCACGGATGCGGGCGGCTTTCGTCGGAGATCTCGCTGAGGCGTATGACTCGGCACTTGCATGTCCCATGGTCCTCTCCAGGCGCATCGGCGCAGCGGCCCTGCTGCTGCTGCAGTCCCCGCCGGCGGGGCCGGCCGCGCCAGCGCCCCCAAGGACGTGACCCGTCTGCCCCGGAGTAGCCCTCGCCCCTCCACCCTCTGCGGCCGCCCCCCCGTGTCCCCTTCTCCCGCTCTTGCATGATGGCTAATTCGCTACTGCGGCGCCCCAGTTTAGCCCACTCGCTAGCGCAGACGCCCCCCGCCTTTCGCCAGTTGGTGCTCTGGTCTGAATCTCACGGCCATACGTGGGGTGCTCGTCGTTCGGGGAGGGCGGGGGCCTTCCATGCAGTAGAACGGAAGGATTGCACGGATCTGCGAGGAAGGACTGTGCAGCATCGTTGCGCATCCTAGGTTTATTTTGGTCCTTTTCCCTCCACCTCTTCTTCCCCTCCCCCACTGGCACCCCCCATCCTCCCCCCCTCCCTCCGCATTCGGCACCTCGCAGGAACCTTTTCTGGAATTCCCTGGGTCCCGAGATACCTCCCTCGAGCCCTAAAACAACGTGAGTCTTGCCGACTCCCTCCCCGTCCGCGCCCTCGAAGCTCCACGGAACTTTCACAACCCTCAAACATCCTTCACGCCCCCATCAAAAGGCCCTCGGTGCCCGTCTGGCCCCTACGGCCCCGCGAGCTCCCGCGGAACCCCCGCCGCTCAGGCAGCCCGTGCTCGGGCTGCACTGTGCCGAACCTGCAGATGCTGTCCGTGCAGCCTGCGTGGAACGCCTCCGACGTCGACCCCGCGTCGGAGATCCATGTCACTTTCCAGGATTTCGTGGAAAAGGCTTCCCGGAAAAGGGGGGGACGGCGACGAGTGATGGCGAGGAGGATGAAAAGGACGACGGAGATGAACGATGGGTTGGCGAGTGGGGGGGCGCAGGAGTTGGTTGGCGGAGAAGCCACCTCCCCCTGTGTTGTTTCCCCCTCGTCTTCTTTTTATGTTTCGTATTGTACTTGTTCATCGTATTAGTTTTCTTCTTCGCGAGAGAGAGAGAGAGTGGTTTGCCCAAAACTGTCTTTGCACCAAGGGGGTCTTACCTGTGTTGCTTAAGTAATGTGTTGGGTGTTCTGGGTTTTCGGTTCGTTCCCGCCCGTGGGCGCCCCCGCGCTGCGGAGGCATGCCGAGGTCTCGCCTGGTGCCCGCCTGCGGGCGCCGCTGGGGGACCTCGACAGTGTGCACCGCGCAGACTCTCCGCTCAGAGGAAGAGTGGGGCTCCGGACACGCCACTCGCGCACGGGCGTGTCAGATGGCCAGGCCGCCCTGGCAGTTGCATCCGCAGGAGCTCGTATGCAGTCCGTAGTTGGTGGCTCCGGCTTGCATCAGCTTCTCACCTTCCCACAGCGACCGCATCGCCTGCAAACCAAGAGGAAAAATGGGCTCTGCCACCCCCTCGCCCCCGGACTCATCGGCACACCATGGGACCCTGCACATGGCACATGTTTCTGTTTCGTCCCCCATGGATCATTGAGTTTTCAGCATCCCAACCAAACTGGCCCCCTCCAGCGCTATCACAGCAATGCTATGCGCGCGCAGTCGCCGATCGCAAACGATCGTGTTTGAATGATAGATTGCCCAAAACTGGCGCAGCGCCCACGCGACCGCACGTCGAACTCAGACCAAACATATCAGTGTTGCAAGGGCTTCAAAATGTAGCATTATACGCCCGTTCATCTTCGCTCACGAATATTGGACATGTTCTGCCCGCGCACAAGTGCTGAAATCATGGGATCACCATGTGACTTTGCCGATCTCGCCCATATCAGCGCCCTCATCCCACAACGTTGTGCATCCGCGTTGATTCAGCATGCAGCACGTGCGCACATCAGTCTCACATGAGAATTTGCGGGCCACTCGCGCGCAGCGCCACGCGGGCGTGTCGAAATCCTTCCAACCCTTTGTCTTTGATTTGTTCTAGCGTTCTTCAAGCACGTACGACAAATTCAATTTGTGTTCCAACGAACAGGTTGCCAGCGTTCTTGGATACTCGTTCGCGCACCTCCTCCCCATCACCCTCATCAGCGCTGCCGCATCACGTCATCGCCCTCGGCAATCGCCGTAATTGCCGCCGTAAGCCCTCAAGCACATCCACTTTTGACGCATGGACATCATCATCATGTCATCGGTGCCGTCGTGCCGTCATGGGGCTTGACGTCGTCATCGCCACCATCGCCACCACCATCGCTACTATTCGCATCGTTGCCGCCGTCGCTGACGTCATCATGATACGGCGCCCGCCCGAGCCACCGAAGCATATGGAACAGCCCGCGCGCCAGCGCGGCTTTTTACATGTATTGGGACGCTGCCACCGGTGAACGCCATCGCGGCTGCATCGGTTGTGCCCAACCAGCTGGCCAGGCCGCTCTGCGCTCGAGCTTGCGCGCGCCAGCGCGGCCGCAGAGATGCGCCAGCCATTGCCAAGCAGTTATCGAAGTCAACGCCGCATGCAGTTTTGCAAATCAACTTGCGGGTGGGAGGGTGGGATGATTGCGCGACCCCTGTATTTGACAATTCACGCGATGACATACTAAACATTGCACCGCGTAGATTGCACAACATAGCGTGCTCCAAGCGGCGAACACCACATAACTTGCACCACATATATTGAATCGCGTTTATTGCACCACGTAGATTGCACCTCGTAGCTCCCACCGCATAACTTACACCTCACCGTTTGCACCACACAGCATGCACCACACACCTGGCACCAGCTAGCTTGCACCACACAGCCTGCATCAAGCGTACGGTACCACAGTGCTTGCACCACATAGCCTGCGCCCTCCGGCTTACGCAACGTAGTTTGCACAGCATAGTTCACACCATTCGGCTTGCGCCACATAGTTTTCACCACATTGTTTGCACCACATGGTTGTACCTCATAGCTGGCACATCCACAATGCGATATATTCTTGTTTGGGGCCCACGTTGGCTAACATCTTATGGACCAGGCCACAAGGGGCGTTATTCCCCCCCCAACTCTCGCTTCCCCCCATATACCGTAACGACCCCCGAACCCCCACAGAACGCTTTGGGGAAGGCCATCCGCCACTCAGTGTGCCCTTGGCACTGCAGTGACGCCCGCGTTACGCACCACAGCCTCACAGCAAGATGCGATCGTTCCGCAGCAGCGACCATAGTGCGGAGTTCGCAGGCACATAGGTGCTCACATGCACGGTTCGGCGCTCGCGGGCTAGTGTAGTCTTTACAGGATTGTTGTTGGCGTTCGGGTGGTTGCAGACACGTTGGGTGATCACATGCGACATGTCAGAAAGAGGGGTATAAGGAAGGGCTAGAAGATGACGGTAAGCCAGACGACCCAGTCGATCACAATTCTGGAGGGGATTCGGGTTCCCGAGGCGTCGAACCCCGAGGAAAGTGGAGGATCAGAAGAGGCAGGGGAAGGACGACGATAAGAAAGAGAGGGAGGAAGAGGAGGAGGAGGATGATCTCAGAGGTCGTCGTCGTCGTCGACATCGTCGCCGTCCAGTGATAGTCGTGGTCGTCGTTCGTCGCCCAGTCCTTGTCGTCATCGCCCAGTCGTAGTTGTCGTTGTCGTCCGTCGTCGCCGCCGCCGCTGTCGTCGTCGTTGGTGTCGTCATCATCGCTATCATCGTCGTCTGCGCCGTCATCGTCTTCGTCGTCGTAATCGCCCTGTCGTTAGCCAATCCTCGCTTGGTCTTTGTCGTCGCCTTCGCCCTCTCGACTTTGGCCTCATCGTCTGGTTTTGCGTCGTCGTCAAATTGTCGTCGTGCGTCGTCGACGTCTCTTCTTATCGCTGCTGGCGTTGCCGTCGTCGTCGGCCAGTCATCTTCGTCTCCGTCGTCGTCAAGTCGTCGTAATCTGCATCGTCGTCGTCCTCGTTCACTTGTCCACTCGTCTAGTCGTGCAGTCATGCAGTCTACGTCGTCGTCATCGTCGCCGTCGTTGTTCAGTTGTCGCCGCCGTGTCCGCCGTCGCCGTCGTCGTCGTCTGCGTTGTCGTCGTCATCATCTGCGTCGTCGTCGTCGTCGCTGACGTGTCTCCGTCGTTTTGCCGTCGCTCTTCTCGTCGTCGCCACAACGCCAAGGTGCGCGCAAGCGCTCCAGGGGCACTGGGGACCACAACAGGGGGGCGTCACGTTGTACGCCCGCCGCCCCTCCACCCCATGACGCGCGTTAGCTTCATGGTTTACACCATTGCAGTGGCGAGAGGGGCATAGACGGAGGCACCTAGACTGACCAGAGAGAAAACGGGAGACAACAGAAGACAACGAGGAAGACGAGCGGAGATTGGGAGGCAGCGAGAGACAACGAGACACAACGGGAGACAATGGCGCCCCACCGATTCTGGACCTTGGTTCTCTCGCTTCGGGGCATTAGTCTTCTCATTGACGTCTCGAGTGCCCCCAATCGTCCATCCAGAAGCGGCGCTTAGGCGACTTGCCTTGACAAGGAAGTTCTGGATCAGCCTGATTAAGTCCAGGACGAGGACGAACACGCGGAGGAGGATGGAGAGGAGCACGATCGCGTGGACGAGGACGAGGACAAGGATGAGGGAGAGGACAAGAAGGAGGACGAGGAGGAAGAGCACGAATTCAGGGAGGAGGAGGAGGAGGAGGAGTAGGATCAGTGTAATTCCAAGAGTCATCAACGATCATGGAATACACCCTGCCTCCAAGCTCCCTCTTCATGGGCCCCTAGAACGGTTCATTTCCACTGAGGGACCTTTCTCGTTGGAAGACAACCGTTTGAAGACCCTGAAGCATGCCAAGACATTGTTCTTGGGATTACAACACCACGGATCAACCTGATTGTTTCGTCTTGACGATGCTGAATCCTGCCAGAACGCCAGTCTTGGCACTTCAACACCGCGAACCAACGTAACTGTTGCACCCTCAAAGTCTTGAGTCCTTCCAAAATACGATCTCTGGCATGCTGACCGTGGGAATCCGTGAACGTCTTACAAATGTGAAAGACGAATGTCCGCGGCGCTGGGGCGAGAGCCACAGTTTGAAAAGGAACGGCCCTCAATCCGTGAAGCTCTTGCAATGTGTTGTAAGCGCATGTATGCGGCGCTCAGGCGAGAGCCACATTTTGAAAACGGGTCGCCCTCAACCCGTGAAGCTCTTGCAAATGTTTACAACGAGTGTGCGCGGCCCTAGCGAGTGCCACATCTTGAAACCGACCCGCCCTCCATTTGTGAAGCATTTGCCCGGCAATCAGAACGTTCAAAGGCGAGGGAAACATATTGTTTGACCACCTACGCCCCGAGGGTTTGTGGGATTATACCCGGCCCCTTGCAGACACACGGTTCAAACATAACGAAACGCGCTTCTTCTCTTCCTCTCCCCCTCCATCCCTCCCTCACCCTCTCTCGGATGCACCTCCTGGAAGGTGAAATTCTGATGTTGCCCTGGTCCGAAGCCTGGTTCAATCCGGCTTAATCCCGCTTAATCCAGCTTGATCCCGCGCAATTCCGATTCATCCGGCGCAATCCCGCTTAATCCGAGGCCCACTCCAGCGTAACAGCCCCCCAATGGGGCTTAATCCTCCCTAGTCCTTCCGACGAAGACCTCCCAGTAGTTGCATCTCACCCTTCTCATCCTCCCCGCCCAGGGGGGAGAAAGAGGGCAGCGAGTGCAGGAGCAACGACTCCACCCTCCCCGCCCTCCTCCTGTCTCATCCCTCCTCGTTTCTCCTCTTTCCTCCTCCTCCTCCTCCTCCTTCTCCCTTCTCGTCGTCCTTAAATCCCTCATCCCCCTCATGCCTCCTCCTCTCTCTTCCTCCCCCCCCCCCCCTCCTCCCTCTCCGCGCTTTCCTGTCCCCCCCTCCCCCCTTCCTCCCTCGTCCTCGTGCCTCCTCCGACGAAGGTGGCGACAGCGACGCCGATGCCGAGAGCGAAGACGATGACAACGACGAGGACGAGAACGACAATGAAGACGGCGACGAAAAAACAACGACGACGACGACTCCGAGGACGGCAACGACAACGATGACCACGACCACGAGGACAACAACGACGACGATGACGAGGACGAGGACGAGGACGACGACAGGGTGACGACGACGAAAACGATGACGACGAGGAGGACGAGGACGACGACAACGACGACGACGACACGACAACCGCGACAACGACGACGACGACAACGTCAACGACAATGGAATTGACGACGACGACGAGGATTGGGCGACGAACGACGACAACGACCATTAACGACGACGACGAGGACGATGACGACGACGACGTTGACGACGACGACGACGGCGTCGGCGGCGGCGACGGCGACGTCGACGACGACGACAACAGCCGGCGCGCAGGTCCCGCACAGGGGCGCGAGGATCCGCGTCTTCCCCACGGCGCTGCGCTCGCTGTGCGAGCGGCCCGACACGCAGTTCCTGTGAGGGGGGGGTGGCCTGGTGGGCCAGCAGATCGGTAGTAACGCAGGCTCCCAGTGGAGTGTACTCAGGCCCCTTCGAATTAAGGCCTGATGGGTAGTCATCGAGGCATGGCGGGCACCTGGGAGTCCTTCATAGGGACCAGGGAGTTTTGGGATGAAACCTGGGCAGCGGGTGTCTGCTCAGGGATAGCACCAGCCCCATGGGTCGAGGTCGGTCGGGCTCGGCATTGCAGCAGTATGCGCGCCGTCATGCTGAAGGCTTTGACCTCGAGAGCATGTTTTGGCCGCCACCCTTTTCAGCGAAGGGAGGCCTAGCCCTGAGTCCAGGCGGCCCGACGCACACAACCGAGAGGGCGGCTGACGGCGCGAAGCGCCAGAAACGACAGTGCGGAAAATATAGGAAATTATGGAGTCGACCAGGGGAGGATGTGAGAGAAGGCCCGCTTATCAACAAAGAGGGTTCAGAGGACTGCTTATCATCACTGCACGCGTCAGGACACCAGTACATATAGTAGATCACAGGTGCTAGCTCGTCCCATCGCTATTCCACTTCTCTTTTCGGCCGCGCTCTCCTCGACGGCATCTTCCCCAGAAGTCTTGGCAGCGGCGGATCCGCGAGGAGGACATCGAGAAGGCTCCTCGGCTGGCTGGCAACACTTCTCTTGGCCCGGATGGTCTCCTTTTTTCCAGCCTGGATAGCATTCGGACAATTCGGCGCGTCGGTGCTCCTGGGAGTCGCGAGGTTGGAAAGCGACGGCGTTGCCGAAGCCATGAAGCGGGCCTGCGCTGACGAATGCTGCAAATCTGGTCACGGCTACAATTTGGGTACTTTGGCGTGCCCGCCGAAGGCCCCTACACGGGAAGACCCAGAACTCGGCGTTTTCTGCCAGGCCTCCGACACTCGCCACTTGTCTATCGACAACACAGGCAACAGGTTCGTCGCGAGCGCCATGCATTGGCGTTGGTGGGGGGCACATCTCTGCCTTCGCAAGAGGTCATGGGCCGCATGCGTGCCCTCAACCTGGTAACAACGATCCAAGATGAAGTGGCGAAATATCAGCCTGGAGCGTTTGGCTTGCCGTTAACAGCCACCTCACTGGGACATTCGTGAGCGGAAACCCAGTTCAGGCACGCACCCGAAAGTGCCTGCCACCGCCCGACTCCTGCACACGAGAACCAGCGAGCACTGTAAGCCCCTGACCCTGGTCTCCGAGTCGGACGGGGACACCCTCCAGCACACGACGCGAAAATGGAAAACCAACATCTGCCAAGCCAGCCCCCTAGGCTGGGCAGGTCCAAAGGAGGAGGAGGAGGAGGAGGAGGAGGAGGAGGAGGAGGAGGAAGAGCTAAGATGCGGAGGAAAACAACTGGGGGCACCTCCCGTAGGTACAGTGCTGGCCCCGCCCCAGTCCTGCACACCAGCGCCGGCGAGAGCTCGGCAGGAGGAGAAGGAGGAGCAGGAGGAAGAAGAACACAACTAACTAGCAGGCGCCAACATGCAGGAGGAGAGGGAGGGCGGCAAAGGCAGCAAGGCAGCAGGGGCGGGCGGGGGGCGGAGGGGGCGAGTGACGTCGGTGGAAGTCGTGGGTCGTCGTGGGTGGTTCAAGGGATCGTCGTGGTCGTCGTGGCGGTTGCTGGCCGTTTGGGGTCAGGCGGGGCGTCGGGAAAAGCGGGCGGGGTCGACGGCGAAGGCGGGCAGGGGGTGGTTCACACAGCATCCGCCGTGGCGGCTGCGTTGGCCGCGGCTAACCGCTCGGCCGTCGCGCCCGCTCGCGGCTGGAGTCGCCGCAGCACTGCCCGCGCATTTTCCCTGTGCAGGGAAATCGAAAACCGCTGGGCAAGCTGATCGGCCGCGAGCGCGGCGTCGTCTCAAGTAGCGTCGGCCGCGCGCTTTGCGAGCACCGCGAAGGCGCGTCGCGCCTCGCGGCCCCAACCGCCGCCGTGGGCCTCGCAGACCATCGGTATGAACGTCAGGCCGGCCTCTGAGCATTTGCGCTGCGCGTCCAAGTGCAAGCGCTTCTGCTCCTCGTAGCGGGTCGCCGCTGCGTCGCCGCCGCCCTCCGCGGCAGAAGCCGTGAGTAAGTCCGCGCGGAGGCCCGAGGTCACAGCGAAATCCCACGCCGCCGGCGTGCCGCCTCGCCACCGCGGGACGAAGACGTCCGCGGGGCGCCTCCCGTCGCCGTCCAGGTCGTCGCCGCCAGCCTCGCCAGCCGGGGGGCCGTCTCCAGGAGCGCGCGGCGGCAGCAAGCCCGGGCGCTCGAGTTCTGCCCCAGCGTAGCCAGCAGCCAGTGCCTCGTGCCAGGCTTGGTTCCGGAGGCAGTTGTGGCGCTTCGTGCGGTCACCGCGGCAGCTGCAGGTGAGCGCGTGGTCATGGGCGGATACATGAAGGAAAGCCAGCAAGGATCCCCACGCGAGCGCTCATCATTGATAGATTTTGCCGGAGTTGGGAATTCGATGGTGCTCCCGTCCTTGAACGACGACAATGCGGCGGCCATTCTCTTGGATTCGTTCGCCCGCTCTGTCTTATATCTCGCAGGAGTGCATCGTCGCCTGTCTGCAGCACATTGGCGTTCCTGCGTGCGCCAGCAACGCCTTCCTGAGCCTCTACGGCGACAGTGGGTGTGCGACATTAGTCACATGACAACTTTTTCTTGGGGGGTGGGTGGAACGAGATTGGGTGTTTGGTAGGGCTGTTTGGTTTCCTCTCTCCTCTACGCCGTCGTGGCGGGAAATCTGTTGGACACGATCGAGGCGAGGGCGACGGGGACACTTGTGCGCGCCTACGCAGTCAATGCGGTTTTGGTGGTGCAGCTTTGGTGGGTGTCCGCGCCTGAGTTGGCGATTTTTTTTTGTCATGGACTTCCGCAGATATCCTGTGTGCGCTTCAATCAGCTGAAATCATGCGCCGCGCTCTGGAACGACGCGACACACGACGTGTTGAGGACAGAAGCGGAACGAGGTGCCCGCATGGGCGGGCATTCCGGTCTGTTCTTGCTCCGGGTACCTGGGCTTCCAGGTCGACCCATGGAAGCACGACGCTTCTTGGCGTAAGCTGTTGGGTCAGATTTATTGCCCGATTGGAACTGTGGCGCGGCCAGCCTTTGGGGATGCACTAGATTGCCCAGGTGTGTAATATGTCTGCGTTGCCGACTCTACGCTACGTCAACCAGCTGGTCGCGCCGCAGGAAGGGGTCCTCCAAGAGGCGCAGCGGTCACTGAGCTCGGTGGCGAAGGGACCTGGGTCTTGGGTTATCACAACTGACCTGTGGACGTTGCAGGTGGTTTTGGGTTTGTTCACTTCGATCACAAACTTGGGGTGGATGGCCCTCGCAGCCAAGGTCCGCGTGGTGCTCTTTGACCAAATGCGTGCTCGCCCCAGCGCCAGTTTCTGGACGACGCGCGCTGGCTACGTGAAGCTCTGGCACGACCTGCCCGCGAGTATTCAAGAGCCAACCGGGCAGACTGGTACGACAGATCCTTCCTCCTCTGCCCAGGTCAAGCGGAGGACCGTCTGACGCAACAAGTGGGGTCCATCGAGACGCTGCGCCGCTCCAAGGCTGGAGGGACCGACGACTGCAGGTGGATGCCAGCGCACGTTGTACTCGTTCTTGATGGCCAGTTCCCTCTGTAACCCTTGGAACAGAATCGGGGCCAAGGGACAAAGCAGCTCCACACACGACGATCTTCGGCGGGGCGAGGGAGCAGACTGCCGCGTGGCAGTGCAAACGCGCAGCATTTGTTTTGAGAGCACTGGGCGCCCAGGTGCCCCCGAGAGTCCAAGTGATTGTTTTCCGCAGTGTGGAAAAGTGGCGACAGCGCGCGGGTTCTAGAACCGCGCCAACTGTCTGCTCGGCTGCGCCGGCTGCGCCGGCTGCGCCCAGGGCAATATCGAACATTTCTGCAGGTGTCCCACTGTGCGTGCCGTCTGCCAGCGAACGTTGCGCCTCGACCCAGCGGCGCTCAGCAAGGACCTTCTCACCGTTGTCGCCCTCGTGGCCCACGCAGTTTACACAGTTGCCAACCGTATGCGCTTCCACAGAGACGCCCCGACAGACGTCGCCGAGGACGCCACTGTGCAAACAGTACGGGAGTGAGCACAAGCACGCGCCAACGCGACAGAGGTGTTTCGGGAGAGATGGGGGGTAGGTATCGCCCCCCACGACGCTGCCTGCGCCTGCGCCCGCTACCTCCTCAAACCAAATTCTTTACGCTTCGCGTATCCCCACCAGCCCATCTCACAACAGCAACTCTTGCGAAGCATGCCGACAGTCGTGTTTTTCAGGCGTGTGTCCGCTTGCCCCCGCATATCTCCCCTGTTCCTCCTTCCTCCCGCCTCATTGTACATCCTCCTTGTGGGGGGAGCGGGAGAAGGACGAGGCGGAGGAGGAGGGAAA